TAAGATTTTGAGAGAAGTCTAAAGTATTTTTCTTGCATTTCCAAATACAAGATTTACCAAATGGTTACTCATTTCTATAATAAAAGGCATTGAAAACATGTCTCGGGCATCACAGTAAGTTTGGGAAGAGGTCTTTCTTGCTTTGTTAGAGTATATTTAGCAAAATACAGAGGTTTACACACTTCTATTTAGGGAAAACATTTGTCGTTGAATTGTAGCTAAATGCTGAATACTATCTTATACATAAAAGTTGTTTGAAATGCACAGTACATCTTCATAATAAAATTGCATTGTCACAGATGTAATTGTTATTCATGACAAGTAGTCTCACAAACAGATTCCATCCCTGTAAGTATTGAGTCTTAGTCAGGCCAATTATGACTAAATTACTGCATGTTCTCTGCTGTATCAACTAATTAAAGGGTAATTAATAAAATGATAATTTCATTCCATGGCAATGTCTACATCTGTTTGTCATAGCAGAGTTTGTTTGACATATGGTTAAATGGTCAGATACTCCATTGTGTGAATGCAACATTTGCACAGCACACCTGGCAAGCTAGCAGAATTTTAACCCTTAAAACATTAATTTAAAAAGAATCTGTGTCAGTATGCTATTGGATTTATTTGATCATTCTCTTCATCTAGTCTTACTACACCTTAAAGAAAATTTGGTTCTCGAAGTTAATTTAAATGAGTGCATCTCTTGGTTTCGGGGAAGAGGACTTGCGATATTAGGTTGGAAAAGCAAGATAAAATACTACTGATTTCTTCTCGTTATGGGAAGTAAACTGGGTGATCTTAGTTCATTTGCTGGAGGAGACTCACCATTGGTTCTGTTCACTAGCGTTACTGGGAACTTCTCCTTTAAAGAAACCCAGGCTGGAGTTAGCACGGAGACTAATTTTTTTCTTTCTCCTGGATACAATTGTATGCCAGGATTAAGGCTGAGGTTGTGGTTACAACAGCATGCAAAAAATCTGCATTGCAGCCTTCCTATACTGTACCTGTCATCTGTAGATAAAACAAAACTTAGTTCCCAAAGGACAGTAACCATAAAATTCACAGGCTAAAGAAATGAAACAATCTTTTATCAAGTTAACAGATGATACAAATAAACAATTCTATTGTGGATACTTAATGTACAAGATAATGTATGCACATACTCAGAAGTGTGGGTGGGTGAAATTTTCAAGGCAATCTATGGATTTTATAGATAGCTTTCTCTGATTTTAATGGATTGTATGTATCTAAATCCCCAACATTGCCTTGAAAAATTTGAACCGCGCTGTTCAATAGTATGCAAGAGAGTGTTTATTTCTATCCTTTAAAAGCATAAACATAACTAGCAGTATTTTAACACTGGATAAATTGCAGGTTCTGATCTCTACTGGGTCAAGCTGTATCTCTCATAAAAGTAGGAAGAACCAGAAATGAAGAAAGATACATAATGTTTTCCTTCTCTTAAGAAAAACAAAAAGACAGAGAAAATAGCTAATGCTTTTTCAGAAATAAAGCAAAGCAAAAAGGATGCAGTAAACTGCAGGAAGACATGAAAGTCTGCCTTTTCCCATGCAAACCTTCCTGAATGAACAGTTCCGTCAATGAATAGTCAGGGTTGCTCATCACCTCGTGCAGTCAGGTGCAGAGTTTGGCCAGTGATGCATGTATAAAGCACTGTTTGTCTGTCTCTGTGAGAGTCTGAGTTCTGTTTCTTGAGAATTTCCAAGTGCACAGACCTATCTCATTTTCATTCTACACATGTAACTCATTAACACCTGGAAAATCTTTTATAGTGTTTAACTGCATCAGATGCATGGTCCGGCACATGTTTTCTTAATAGGTCTTTCACTGAGGTATTGTCAAAGAACCCTTATGTCACAGCTGGGAACATGAATCTGTCATGTCAGTACTGTACCTTGTTTTAGACAGCAATAGTGTACGAGCGTGTTTTATGGAGGGGCTGAACATGCTCATATACTGCGTGAGAAGGAAAGAATGTGAAGCTTGTTCTCCTAAATAAAGATTCAGGCTGGTGGTAGTAGAGCACTTTGTACCATTTAAACACTGCTGCCTCTAAGGCATTGCACTTAAGGAAAGGGAAGTTTGAGGCACGCAAGACACGTCTCAGTATTTTGGTGGTGTAATGCTTCTAGTTAACGATATGTCATCATTTGCGTTTCATTGGGAAAAAATTGCCAAAGGTTTCTAATTCAGTAGTAACAGCTTGTCTGAAACTGAAAGTTGATATGGAAGTCCTTAGTTAGCCTGGGAATGTTAGTTTTTGAAACAAGTTTGATTTAAGTATATTTGGCAATATAAGAAGAGGAAGGAAAAGTAAATGTTTTCTGTTCTATATGCTTTTTGTGCCGATTTAATTACTGTAAAACTCAACTTTAAATAGACTACTTTGTAGCTCTGTAATCAGAATGCCTTGGGTAGTTAAAAAAGGGATAGGACTATAAAAAATGGCTGTAATACATGTATAAGACCTACATTTTCACATGCATGCATTTCATCTGAAAATTAAACACTTAAAAATCACCATCACCGTCTCTGACTGCTAGGTAAGTCAGGATGGTGTTCCATGGTAGAGTTCACCTTTGAAAAGTATAGAAAGAAGAAATCGTATAAGAAACTGTAACAGTTGTGAAGGAATTAACAAAGATCCTCAGTTAAAGAATGTATGGATGAAAGCAGCATTTCATACACCAACAGGAGGATCTATTTTTTAAACTACGTTTTTTTTTATTTTAAAAAGCTCACATATATAGCTCACATGCTAAGAAATATATTACAGAAATATCAGATATTCAGGATTAAGGTACGATATCAAATGCATTTTGTATGCTTAAAATATTTCTCTCTCTTGTTTCTATAATAGCTCCTCAAAAGTGTGAATATGCAGGGCCTGATACGCAGCCCGTAACCAGTCCAAACTTAGACTGGCATCAGTGAAACATGTTAGTCATCAGGTTACAAGACTACCTGCTGAATTTCTCTCTTGATTTTCTCCTTTTACCATTTGAATTGAGGGCTACTGACTTTTCTCATGGTGACAGCATTGAGGTGCTGCTGGTTGGGCTCAAGGCATTAGTTCATGTCCATGTCCTCACCAAAGAGGGAAGCAATGGAGCTGCTTAGGACTGCTGTGCAGGTGAACACATGCGGATTTGTTGCTGAGCAAATTATTTTGCTTTTTTGCAGAAGGGCTGAGGGCCTTAAGGTTTACTGCAAAGGCCTTATCTATACTTCTGAGGTTCTGTGCAGATGGACTAAATGCAGCAGGCATTCACCAGACTGTGTAGGGTTTGCCCAGCTGAACTATAAGACACCTAGTAAGGTAGCCCAAGAGGGTCTGTCAGTTTTCAAGCGGACAGCGCACTGGGGTTGAATTATTCTACATGATTCCTTTAAGACTACTGCAGAAGCTATTCGAAGGTTAAAAATGAGTCTCTGTAATTAACCTTTCTACATGCCTAGGTATGGTGACACATAGTTAAGAACCCTTGCAATATGTAACTTAGTTACAGCAGAGCAAGTTAAGGATTGAGTGAAAGGCTTAACTATAAATTTCCTTGCTTGTATGGGTTTAATTTAGAAATGCAATCATGGGGTGTAACATAAATTAAAATAGCAGTAGTAGATCACTACTTGGCAAATCTCTTAAGACAGACAAGAAGAGTATAGGTACCTCACCAGGTTATTATATATTGAATGCCTTCTGTGTGCTTAGCCCTCTGCTGAAATGAGTCTATTTTTTAATTTTAAGATCCTTTTGGAAAGGACAGAGGTGTTTTAATGGAATAAGCTCCACTGACTCTCAGTGAGAATTAGGAGCCTAACTTCTGAAAAATAGAACTTCCTAAATGGTTTAAAAGCATTTCTCAGCCAAAAATTTGAAGTTTTACCCAAAAACATCCTCAAATCCAAACATAAACTGGAGGATGTTCATCCTTCAGATGCATATTACACAGAGCTTGACTTGCAGGTTTCATATTTTAAGATTTCCCAGCAAGAGTGTTTTTGGGAAAGTGAGTGAAGAAACCCACATGCCTCATGAAGGACCCTTGAGGCCATGTATGGCATGTAGCACCCCCGCAGAAAGGGAAGTTTGGGAAGAGGGTGGAACAGTGATGCATCTCATTTTCTTTTGGTTTCAGAGGAGGATCGCATGCATCAACAACTTCTGTATCTCTTGAGGGGGCCCACTCCTCTTGGCTGTTTGGTCAGGGCTTCCCATATGGGTTTGCTATACTGCTAGGTCTCTTTTAGAAAGATAGTGAAATGGAAATGTGCGGCCACCATGCAAGCAATGAGGGCTGCCTGATCCTCATAAACATCTCTCTCTCTAAGGCAAGAGGGAGTGAGCACAAGCCAGTAAAATTGTTTTGGTGGCAAGCTTGCTCCCAAGCACCATCTTTTCTGGGCGTCCCGTGAACACCCAGGGGAGATCCCCTCAAGTGACTAGTCCTTAATATGACAAGGGGAAGAGCCACTAGGCCTGTTGTAAGGCAGTGGTGAACTGCTGACGCTATCAGACTAATGCCTGTTGCCCACAGCCCTGCGCCTTAACGTCCTCCGAACCGTCCTCGGCAGCGAATTGCCCTGGCAGAACATGAGCTGAACCAGCGTCGTAGCACAGCGCTTGTAGCACAGGAAACACTTAGGCAAGGTGCCCAGAGGAGGATCTGAAATCAGCCTTTGAGCAGCTGACAGGTGAGAATCTGTCAAACCAGCTTTCGAGAGGACAGAGAGAGTTGAGAGAAAATAACGCTAATAGCGACAAAACCTTGCAGAGACTGAACAGAGAAAGAAGCTATAGGAAAGCAAGAAAATAGAGCATTTGAATAGGGAAACAAAGAGAAAGAAATGACAAACAGGGAAAAAGAAGGACAGATTGGATCAGTAGCAGGTACAGAATTTGCCTGAAGCTTCGGTAGGGACTAATACAGAAGAAAGACGAATAGCAGGCTTATATGTGAGCATGGCAGAAAGCATTTACGGTTACAAATAAAGGTTGGAATAACAGCATCTAATCCCACAGGAATTCTCTGGGTGAGTACAGGGGAATTGGAGGGGTTTTATAAGACAATCAGGTTCCCAATTTTGTTTGTGGAGTTTCGGGTGACAGCTCGTCAAGAAGTCAAGACAAAGGCATCTATCAGCAACACGTTAAATCAATTAGAGCTGGAACCATTACATAGAAATTTTGAATTGAATCATGACAAAACCTTTCTTGTATGGTCTAGACCTCAGAAAGGTTAATCCTCATTAGGGCAAGTTCAGGGGCATTATTAGGGGCATAATGGAACTGTACTGTGTTAAATATGCTGTGGTAGAGGATCCACTATTTTTAGGTGGACTGGTTATGCTGATTCATGCATGTGATATGTCTCAACATTAAATCCAGGAGTGAGGAAGAAGATGTTAGTTTCCATTGCAGAGAAGAGGTAATTCCCCCCCCCCCCCCAAAAAAAAAAACAGGAGCAGTACACTAATGAGTTGTCAGCCTCTGTCTAACTGTTTTCCTTGCTTGTTTGTCCCATATTGCTCCTCAAGTGCCTTCTTGCTTCCCCTCACGCTGCTCTGAGGGACTGGGAGGAGCTCCCAGTAAGACTCATTTGTGTTGTGATGACTGCTAAATACTTGACTGTTAGCCAGGCAATTAATACACTGAGGTTAGTGATAGTGATACCCGTAGAACTACTAACTATTCTTCGTGTCCATCTCATTCATTTCATTTCTCACCCCGGGAGAAGGAGCTCTGCTGTATTACCTGTCTAATCCTCAACGCAGTTGTACAGAGGTGTATGTAGAATAAACATATATAACAACGTGTGGCAGGTAGGTGTCTATTTTTTTAGTGCAAGCTCTCAGCCTTGAGAATGCATTTTGATTAAAATCATTTGTCACTTTTATTCCTTTGATTATACAGTCTTTTTTTTTTTTGAAACATCAATAACTATAATATCAAAAATAACTTAGAAGTTGTTCTATTTGTTTTCTTCTTCATATGTCAGTTTAACAAAACTCCGTTAAAATTATCTTAGATAACCATTTAATGTACTTTTTTATCCTTTTATCCACATTGTTGTCTCTTTTTGATATGAGTGCTTCAGTGTTAATATCCTTGCGGTGGACAGTTCTTTTTAGCTAATGTGACTGTCCCAGGAGTGCATGGCTAAGATTTTCAAATGTGGACATTAAGCTCCCACTATTTTTAAATGACAACCAGGCATCCAAATTCCCCAGGTAGCCACAGTTACTTGCCAAATTGTGCTCAAAGAGTTGGTGGATGAAGACTGTTTATTCTGAGATAAATTATCTTCTTCCTTTCTCCACGAACTTATCAAGTTATTTATTGAAGGAGCAATTATCCAATGTCATAGCTTATTTGACTTCCACAGCAGTAATTATCCCATCTATCAGCCATTATGTGCGTTTAATTTTTTTTCTAAGTCCATTGGTCTGTCTTTAGCGTCTTTAGGAACTATCAGGAGGGGGTTGAACCTCTTAACTTCTGATTTAAAGCATCATCCTATGCATCTCTCTGCAGGATAGTTGCTTTATCAGAAGACCCCCTGCATTGCAGGGCTCCAGGAGACTAGGAAGAAAATCTGTTTTCTCATATGTCAATGATTGGTGTCATCTCTGGCTAAAGAGATAGCTTGGGTTCTGTGTGTTCATGGACTATTCAGACACATATCTGAAATTATTGCTTTGATGAATTCCTTTCTACAATAATTTACTCATCAGGGTACCATTTCACAATGTCAGACTGCTACTTGAAGAACATTTACATGACGTAGTGAAGTAGAATACAAATTAGAGTGATTTTTTTAATCAGAGATTTTTCTTTTCTGATTTGTTTTACTGCATAGGCAGCTTCTACCTGCTGCATAACCCCATTGCCAATGTTAACTTTAGTAATAATAATACAGTTCTCCTTTAATGAAAATACTAACAATTTTTGTTAGATAAGAAACATAGGATAATGTAATGCTGCTCAACCTGAATGATCATCATTGGAAAATCTCTCATCAGTGAAGAAAAGTAGTATCTGTTTTTCTCGAAGGCTTGATACCACATGAAAGTGTTTAGAACAAAGATAATATCAGTAAGCTGTAAAGCAGAATACATTTGAAAGTTCTAGCCATATTGACCAATAAACAATTTATGGTAAAAACAGAAACAAACCATTAGAATATTTTAAGACTGTAGCTTTCTGACAAGTATACTTTATTTATCGACTTTGCAGTACAATCTTTTCCAGTAATGTTTACAGGATGTAAAAAAAGAGGGAGAGGAGGAAGATTCAGATGCCAAGTCATTTTTACCATTGTTTTATAGCCTTGTCCTCTGCCATGTGTCGGGTATTATCAGCACCCATAAAGTAACCTCTGTATTCCTGCCTCACAAACCTGTGCAACTAGACAAATCACAGACATGGTATGTTAAATGTTTAAGTTAAAGGCGAGTAAAAATGGTGCTGCCCCCTCTGAAACTTGTGCTATAGTGGTGCCAATAAATAAGAGCTACAAACAGAGCTAAGCAAACCTGGGGGAAGAAAGGAGGCCAGGGCAGGGTCCAGGAGGGTCCAGCCTTAGCACAAGTTCTGCCACCATTATGCTCTCCCACTGCCAAAGCCGGTTCATGATCTGATGGCAGCATGTGTGTAGAAAAGGGCAGTGTTTGAGTTTGGCTCTGAATCTCCTGAAAACAACAGGGATTGTGTTGCTTTTGTCCACAATGTGGATGTGAGTGCTTGAGGGAATACACGGGCTTTAGGTTTCTAATACTGATGCATCAGGCAAAGGTAAAACTTCTATTTGTAGTTATAATTTATGTTATAGAGGTGCCTGCAGGTGTTTGGTATGAGGCAAATCCGTGTGCTAGGCTGTGCCCAGGCACATAGTAAGAAATAGGGCAACATGAAAGAGCTTACAATCCAAACACTGGAGCTGGGAGACCACAGTTTGGTTTTTGTGAAAGCTTCTTAATTTTCCAAATCATCATGAATTGAAAGGAAAGCAAGGCACTTAAAAATTCTGTGTTCAGGCAACAGGCTTGTCAGAGGGCTCATATTTATGAAAGAATAGGTCAAGATTTTGATTTGCATCTCCCTGAAAGTCACAAGAAAGACCTCTGATCTGAGAAATCATTCCTTGGAACATGTTGAAGTTGGTGTGTTTGTGCCAAAAGAAAGAAAAATCTGAGTTTTTTAGTTGAAAGAGAATATATGAAAAAAATCAAAATGTTGCTGAACACATTCTGACCAGCCCACCAAAAACACAAGGCAGACTAAATATAGGATATGAAGTCCAGAGAGCAAAGTGGGCTCTCAAGGGGCAAGGTGGTGGTGAAGCCAACCAGCGGAGTCAGCGTCTTGGTTCCCAGTCCAGGACCACATCCACCAGACAAAGTCTGTCTTCGGCATCTCAACCTCCCCTAGAATTTCGCAGCCATGAGTCACAAACCCGAGGTCAGTGGGGATGGTAGCACTGTTTGCTTTCTACTTCCACCAGTAATGCCTTGTGCACAAAGCACTAAGTGAGGCTGGTGTAAGTCCTGCCGTAACAGGGCTCACATTTAGCATCTTGGCTCGCAGGGCTGGGACGAGGTCATGGCACCGCACTGCAGCCAGGGAGCGTCCCGCTTCTTGGGAGATCCTCTGCCACCGGAGCACCACGATTTAGGGCAGCACTGCATGGCAACCATAGTTGAAGAAACGCTGGTGTGGGAAACTTGGAGTAGACATAGATAAATCAGGATACCTTAACAGTATCCTTAAGATTACTGAGAAGAGCATTCCAGCTCAAAAGAAGCTTTTACAATGTTGGTTAACTAGAGAAGTATGCCTCTAACAAACCTATCAGGCTTGATAAATGGTTCTCTATTAATATCATGATTTTGCTGAATCTGATGAGCAGCTTTCGGAGTTCAGAGGTAGAAAAAGATTGTACTTGAAAGATGGCCCTTACATGAAGCTAATTGTGTGCAGGGTTTTCAGAAATATTTGGTCAGTTCCTGTTCAAAAGTTGGGTGTCTGTACTTCTTAGTGGCAATAAAATTAATTCTTCTGGGCTTGGGAAAAAAGAAGTACTTTGATTTTTTTACCAGTTAATGTACTGTCGAGTCTTACTTCAAATAACATTTTTAAATTTTAAGACATTTCACAAAGCAAGGGATATCATTTCAAGGATGAAAGTTCTGATATGAAATAATTCCAACAAAATTGATTGTATTATAGGCACTATGTTTATATGACTTTCCTAAAATATTGCCTTTTTAATGCTAATATTTCAGCAGTAGAAAAGAAATACTGCAGCTGAATTCTCTTCTGGACACATACATAAAACTACCATTTACACCAGTACAGCAATGAAAACAGTATGATTTAAATGGGGACAGATTTAGCCCCATAGGCCATATTCCCGTTTAGCTACACTCTATTTATCTTATAGATTCAGGATTTACTATCTCAGGACAGACTGGTGGTCTAATAGGTCTGGTATCTTGTCTGGGAAAATAACCTGTGCTGGATATTTCTGAGGATAATGTAAAAAATCTCTACAACGTGGCATATCCCTATGTTATTCTGCTCTTTAATATACCAACGCAAGCTCACTGGTTTCCATGGAATTATGCTAGCAAAATGAGAATGAAATTTGACTCCAGATATGATTTTAGTATCATAGTAAGCAACTGTTTTTTGCGTCATTGATGATCTATGATTTTTTTTAATTAATATACTCCTATCATTGTATTACACTGATGACCTAATTTGACTAGGGGTTTCCATCTGTTGTAGCAGACCTTACATAGATACCTGATGAAGTCTCTACCTTATTGAGAGTTTTGCGGGAAAAAATGTTTCTTCCTGCTGTATTTCTTGTTCCCAGGGTAAAATAAATTTTAAAATCAACATTATCATGAAAAGAATGACATAAAGAGTTGCTTGTAAACAGTACTTTTTAAACTTGCTATTGTGAAGGATAAATCTAAAATGGTTTTCAAAGTCCTTCTTTATCTAGACACCGCGCTGAGGCACTAGC